GGCTCTTCAAATTCTGTCCTCCGGATTCAATACCCTCTACAAGCATTTCTGTGTTCCGGCCAGCTTTGGTGATTGGGGTGACTGGTCTCTCCAACATAATGTCGGCCACATGAACACATTAACTTATATCAGCCATATTTGGATTAAGGGTCATCTTTCTCTTTAAAAGAGGGCATCACAGAAAAAATTGTTACAATTTATTTAAAGGCTATTCTGATTTTCAATTTTTTTAAAAGCTCCATAACTCTTGTATAAATAGGACAGGAAGGCAAAGTTAAAACATGTCTAAAGTTGTCTGGCTCTATCTCTCTTTAAATAGTCACCCTTTTCAGCTTTGTTTATTATTAATTAATCTTATTTTAAATTAAACCTAGTGGGTACTTTTTGTCTTATAGTTAAATTTTTGAACTTTTCTATCTCCTTATCTCAATTATTCCTATCAGCCAGCTTTATACTCCTAATAATCATAGATTTTTAAATTCTAACCGTAATCTTTTATCTCGTTGGATGGGATGAAGGCTAAGACGATGCTATCACTGATGTTATAAGCTTCCCTGCAAACTTCGGAATAGCAAAAATATATTTAAACTAACTGCATATAATGATGTTGAGGCCAAACAAAACGAGACAGTTCCTTGATTTTCTAATTTCGGTATCTTTTTACCCTCTCTAGCTTTCTTATGTTCATACACCGGTGGCCTTTCGACAAGTGTAAATCAGCTGTCCATGCTTCAGCTTTCTCAAGCTCCCCTCATTGTCGGGCGTAATCAGGAATCTGTTTTATCTGCGCTTAGGCATTCGCTTAATTTGCCATACCATAACATTCCTGCCAACATGACTTCCTCACCGGCTTCAGATACAATTTATACGATTGCTGCAGTCTCAACTGATGCATTGACTTCCAGAGTCTCTGTTGTCGGCGCCGGTGGAATCACTAGTGGTGTAAAAGAAACTGACACTGAGTCAGAATCTATCCTCGCTGGTCGACGGTTGAGTCTCACAACTAATGATTTCATACATATGTCCGAGCG